CGCGTCACACGGTGCTCTCATGAACGCAACAAGGGCCTGTTCAGCCTCCCCCAAGCCAAGGAAGCAGCTATGGCAACCATAACTACTCATACACAGGAGGCATGGAAAGCAATGGAAAAAGAGCTAAAAACAGCCAAGGATCAAACAAAGGACCATCTGTTCCTTGGATGACCAACATAACTTGGTTTGGAAAAACTGAAGAGCTACAGAACCCTCTTGGCAGAGACTGCATCTCTCATACTTCAGGGTTTCTTACCGAGAACAAAATTTTGTCTTGGTGAATACTGAAGACTGACAAACCTACCCAGGACGGCCCGGCCCCTCCCAACTCCTCCCGATCGGCCTGCATTCAACCCCTTCATCACCCAACTTCTATCCCTGATGCTGCACAAGATCTCCTGCCTTTCCCAGGTCGAACCCTTCCCGCAGTGCCCGGCCTAACTTGGTATGCCTGCAGGAGGAACAAGGGTGAATGACAGGAGTCTGAAGCTCCACAAGGAGGAGCCACGAGTAAAAGCCCTCGATATGCGAGCCATACACTGAGGCAAAACAAGGACACCTATTGATGGGGGAGGGCCCCCGAAGCCATTGAACAACACAACACAACCACCACAAAGTGCATGTCAATATATCGAGTTCCTCAGGGTGGAGGTAGGCGAATGGGAGGTGTGCTTGCCTGCATGTGCCGAAAATTGGTAGATTGGTAGGTTAAACATATGCTCTGTCTTGTGGGCATTCTAGGTGACAGGGTACGCTTACCTGCATATACTAAGAGTAGCTACATTTAAGGCTCAATTATAGGCAAAGTCATGAAGACAAACAAGTTCAACTGATAGAGCAGAGTTTCATTCATAAGTGCGGTTAGGTGGGCAATCAAGTTAGCTGGGTGTGCTTTCCTGCAACGGATCAGAGAAGGTAGAATCATAGGCAAATGTAAAGTAGGCGGACATAGTAGCAGCTATGGACTGAGCCTTTAACTCCATCTGTGATCTTAGTACAAACTCTCAGCAGAATAATTGTCTGCTCAACGTCACATTACTGCCATCTCTCTTAAAGTAACAATTCAGGTCACCCAAAATGTTCAGGGACGCTGGACCCGGTTTCCAGCAGGTGCTGCTCCCCACCAATAGATGGAGCCTCCCCGAGGATGCTAGCTGCTAGCGGTGCCTGCTCCTATCGGCACCCCTAGCACTTCGCGGGCAGTTCTTCCTAAAAAAAAAAAGAACTTTCGACACCAGGTGTCGAGAAGCATATTCTGACAGCTTGCGATTTTTCTTCCCGTCTCCAATTTTATTTTATTTTTTGGGACCTTAGGGCTTCATCATTACAACCGTCTGCAATTTCAACAGCTTGTGTGGCGAAGAGAAATTATCGAAAATCGTGGTTTCTACACTGCTGTGGCGAGGCCCCAACTTTCGCAGAAGTCCCCTTGAGAATTCGCTTACCAGCAGACTATCTTTGGCGGACAATTGCAATTTTCGATTCCGTTTCTTTGGAACATGTGCGCACGATGTAAAACAAACATTTATCCTGTGAGTGGGGTGTGTGCGTGTGTGCGTGTGTGCGTGTGTGCGTGTGTGTGTGTGTGTTGTGGGGGGGGGAGTGTGTGGGTGGGTTCGTGATTTTTTGTGTGAGCACGTTTGTTTGAACAAACACACACACACACAGAGAGAGAGAGAGAGAGAGAGAGAGAGAGGGAGAGAGAGAGAGAGAGAGAGAGGTCAGTGGTTGTGTGTTGCCGGAAGACAGTGTTCAGGTCACAGAGAACTGGTAACAGGGGTAAGGGTGACCTGGGAACTGGTAATAGGGGTAAGGGCATCGCCACACCACTCTCGAAATGTGCAAAATGAGAATGAACTTCCTACTAGACCATGACCAGATGCACCCTCCATAATTTTCTCGTTTTCACATTTCTAGGGTGGTGTGGCGAGGCCCTAAGTGAGCCGTCGGTAGAAAGAGAGAAAAGGACAAGAAACGGGTGGCTGTGAATCATGGATCGGTGAATCTCAGCCAGGGTGGCTGTAAATCATGGATCGGTGAATCTCAGTCAGAAGTCTGTGACAGGCCTCAACAAATTTGAAAAAAGGCCTCGCACCAAAGACCACTGAAGTCCAAGGCTTTATTTCGAAGGTCGCCCGGGAGTCCATTACATTGGCAAGGTCCGAAGGGGGGCTGGGGATCCTAGACCTCCACCAACAGAATATTGCTTTACTGGGAAAATGGATGACTAAAGCTATGTTGGATGGCAGGATAGATAAGTACTGGATTAAGTTTGCTGAGTATCTGCTGGGCCAGGAATGGTCCCTAACGGAGGAGGCAGATGTGTGGCGCTGTGTTTTACTGCCATCCTTCGTGAAAAGGAAATTAAATTCCAGGACTTGGTCTGCCATTTTTAAGGCCTGGAAACAGATCCTACCTGCTCTGCTTAATGGTCCTACGTGTAGAGGAGAAGTGATGAATCAATATCTATTTGACAATCCTAGAATCCACCATCTAGATGGCTCAACCCTTTCTTCAACCACTGGAAAAGGTAATTTTGGAAGACGGTGGATTGAAAAAGGGGTCATTCAGATAAGGGATATCTGGGATGCAGATACTTCGGACTGGAAACCCCCCTCCGAACTAAAGGTTAAATTAGCCAGACTCCGAAATATTGAAGGTAATTATAGGGAACTGTTGGAGGCGATTCCGGACTTCTGGACAGCTAAAATAGATGAGTCCGCAGAACACGCATGTGGTACATGGGTTTTCACTTCACTCAGGGATGAGCGTGTGCGGAAAGTGATAGGGCTGGAGCTAGGGGGTGGAATGAAGTTGGAAAAGTGGTCAATCAAGACTACGAGGGAGGGTGATTTTATGCTATCCCCGCCAGAGGAAGTACTAGTCCCCACGACAGTAGGGCTCAAGGAGACCCGTGTGTGGGACAGAGGTAAGCGAGGTAGACCGAACCAAGTGATCTATCAGAAAGCACGAAACAATGATCAAATCGAGCCACTGTTATATGGATGGACGTCTGAGGATAAGAAGGTTCCTATTCCTCTAGTCCAATACAGCACCAAGGTGGGAGTGCACACATTGAGACAACAAGTAAAGAAGAAACCACTTGACCTAGCAGTCAAGAGGTACGTACGTCGGACTGATACACTGGCTCCGAGACCTCAATTTGGACACCTGTGGCAGGCCCTGAAGAAGATCCCGTCACAACGGCATGCGGCGATATTATGGATGCAATCCTTACAAGTGATGGCATCAGCTACTTTTGGAATCAAAGGGCATGACGCTGGACATCCAATGTAAACGCTGTGAGTGGGGATGCGAGTCCTCTGCGCATATATGGATATACTGTCCTCTTTCAGATGCAGTTTGGCAATGGTGGACGTCCAGGAGGCAGAGCATTGCAGGTGCAGAATGGCCCTTGGACGATGGATGGATCCTGTATGGTTTAACAAAGACTGTTACAAACCTACAGCAGGGGAGGGGTTATGTGGCGCTGGTCTGCTGTGGCATACTGCGTAGCCACACGGGCCCTGCAGGGCCCGTCCCATTCAGCCTAAAAGCCTAAAACTTAGGGCTTACAGGCCCCTTTCGTTTCAGCCTGAAAGCTGAAAAACGAGGGCCTGCAGGCCCTACCCCGTTTCAGCCTRTTTCTGGGTCTTTTCAGACCCAGAGTTTTCAGCCTGAAACGGAGGGCCATTTTCAGGCCCTCRTTGTTTCGACCTGCCCCTAAGACTCAGGCACGTAAACAGGGATGCGGAACAGGCCAGAAATAGCCTGTTCCTCACGAGTTTGAGCAGGAGCTGCAGCTCCAGGCCCTGCCTTCCTTCGGCAGGCTCAGGAGGCACACCCAGTAGTACATAGGAAGTTCCCATGCACTTCACAGGCAGGTAGTTCAGTAGGCACGAGGTAGTCCTCAGGAATTCGGCCGCAGCACTCAGGAGGAGCGCTGCAGTAGTCTTCAGCGCTAGGTGGTATTAGAGCTAGCTGTAGTCTTCGGCGCTGGGCGCCATAGCTGTAGTTGTAGTCTTCAGCGCTGGGCGCTGGTAGGTGGTAGATCGTAGAATGGGAGAGAGACTGGCGGAGGCCAGTGATACTTACCTGTGGCGCCATCGCTCCAGCTCCATCTCCGTGGTACCTGCATCAAGGCCCCAACTTCACAGGTTAGTACTGGACACAGAGAGAGAGAGAGAGAGTTCTTCTTCTTCCTCTTCTAAGTCCACCTTCTCTTCTCACCCTCTCGCCACCTGACTTCTCAGACTACGACAGAGAGAGACAGAGTTGTGACTTGAGACTTGACGACATTGGATCCAGACTYGACATTTGGGATTCAGACATTTYGACGAGGGACTATTTGGGCTTATGCCAAAGACTTGGTGTTGACGACATTCCCATCTTCCCCCTCCTCTTCGTCTATCCCCTTCCTCTTCGTCTGTGTATGGTATGGGCTGGCGCAGTCTTCCTGTGTGAAGCGCCAGGCCCCATTCACACTATGTAACGATGATGATGATGTATGTTCAGGGCTGCATTGCAACATTGATTGTTCGGATCACTGGTATCTAAGTCTTCCGTTGTACTATCTTATACTTTGTATTGAAAGGTTGGTTCTTGTTCTGGTCTGCACGTTACAGTATGCAACAGTTTGGTATCGGAGCGGACCTGTCATTCAGAGGACCCGCTCAATGCGATCTATTGATCACTCGTTAGTAACGCAAGTAGGACTTAGTCAAATCTCTGAATTTTTTTTTCTCTTTTCTCGCAACAACTATCTGAAATTTCTGATATTCGCATTTCGTTCTATCTGAAAATTTCTGATATTAGTAGTTCGTTTTTACGTGACAAATATCTGAAAATTTCTGATAAATCGCATTTCGTTTTGTCTGAAACTTCCCGATAGTAGCATTTCGTTTCTCTGATATTTCGCATACATAGCTGAAATTTCTGAAGTTGGTATTTTCATTCTCTAGGCATATTGGGATAACGATAGAAGTGGTCATATTCTCGGAAACTGAAATTATTCTTTTCTGAAAACCGCATTTCCATTCTATCTCGCAAATTTTTTTTTGAAAACCCTGCGTTTTCCCTCCCACCCACCCCTTGCATGCATCCCGGTTCGGTACAGTGCCACGTCAGCATCGCCACGTCACAGTGCCAGATCAGCAGTGCCACGTCAGCAGCGCCACGTCACAGTGCCAGATCAGCAGTGCCATGTCAGCAGTTCCAGGTCACAGTGCCACGTCAGACTCAGTGCCACGTCAGCAGTGACGTCAGACTCAGTGCCACGTCAGCAGTGACGTCAGACTCAATGCCACGTCAGCAGTGACGTCAGACACAGTGCCACGTCAGCAAATTGACGGGCCTGCCAGGGCAACTGCCCAACGAGTCCCTTGCCGCCTACAAGCAGCGGTTCCACGCTCAGATTGAGGCTGAGGAACAACGCCAGCTGGCAGCCGAGGCTGCCCGCGTACAGGCTGAAGATGCAGCAGCAGTAGAGCAGCTGCGACTACAGGCCGATGCAGACGCAGATGCCCAGGCTCGCCGAAAGGAAGCCCAGGATCTGCTGCAGCGGCATGAAGCCAACAGCATCGATAGACTCAGGTTTTGGCACTTTGAACAGAACGGCGACGAGGCAACACCGGAAGAGAAGCACAAGGAGTTCCTCTCCAAACTCTTGACAAGGTTGTTGTACGCTTGCAACTACCAATGGTCAGAGTTGGAGAGACAGTACCAGGACCTGACGCAACAGCATCAGGAGTTGGCAAAGCTCCGCCGCATAGTGCAGAGCCACGAGGATGCAACTCGGACACTCAATGCCCGATTACTGGACCTGGAACAGGCTGTACCAGGACCAGCTGTTGGGGCTTCCAGCAGTGCACCCTCTAGCCGCCAACTGGAGGACCGCGTTGACCACATAGTGGCAATGCTCGGCGACATCAGCACTTTCGCTGCGCCGACCACCACCATCAGCAGTCAGCTGCATACATTGAAGACCGAGGTCCAGCAGCTGCAGTCGACGAACGCGGACGACAATCCGAAGATGTACAAGATGCCAACTTTCAACCTGGAGAGGTTCGACGACTACACACAACAGGGTCCGGTCCTCTGGTGGGAAGCATTCACAACGCAACTCAGGATTCTGCCCGTAGCCAAGCATACGTACATCGGGGCCCTGTTCCTGAACTCAAAGGGCGGATGCCAGACCTGGTTGAGCCACCTGGCAACCTCCCATGGCGTTGACATACCAGACTTGAAGGACAAAATCACATGGGAGGAACTGACACGGCTGTGGAAGAAGCGGTTCATCGTCGACGACGCGCCGGCCCTCGCCATCAACCGTTTGTTCACCATGTCACAGGGCAACACTGCAACACGGGATTGGCTCACAGAGTGGTAGAAGATTGCGGCAGTGCCCAATCTGGATCTGCCTTTCACTCATCTCAGATGTGAGTTCTGCAATAGGTCCTATGCTGCATTGAGCCAGGCCCTTGGTGATCGTGAGCAGTACTCCACTTTCGCCGAGATTATCGACAAGGCGAGAGAGATCATCAAGACCAACAGGTCAGCTGCACACGAGAGATCAACATGGCAGCCGAACAATGTGGAGAAGGTACGAACTAGTCCGCGACAGCAGCACTTCGCTGCAGTCTAGCAGGACAGTGGAGATAACCCAGCAGCCACTCCACATCAAGTGACGGAGATCAGGTGGCCGCTGTCCAGCCGCGAAGCAACAACAAGTCCCGCAATACTAAGAAGGCGAAATCCGCATCGCAGGCCGGAAATGGACAGCCAGTACAAGTTTCATGGGTCAAGTTTGGCTTGACCGAGGCGGAGTACAAGGTCCGCGGCCACTATGGCAGCTGCTATTGGTGCAACAGCACCAAGCACAAGACCTCCCTGTGCCAAGATCAGGGCAAGGAGGATGTGCGACCCCGCCTCGGCTCGGGAAACGGAGCTCCGCGGAAGGTGAGGCGACTCCACCTTCTACTCCGCCAGATTCGGCCACCTTGCTAGCGGCCTCCTGCACATCTGGGGCGAACGCGAATGTTGCAAGTTCTCGTTACACTTACGAGGACTATGTTGTCCACTTGGTTCCACCGCTGGACCAACCGCTCCACGTGTAACAATCCATCGCATGCACGGTTTCATCACCATCGGCAACCGATTCGGCACCTTCGCCGCAACCTATCGCCGGGGATTCGACGTCATGGTCAAGACTTGAAGAGCTCGACCCATTGGCGTTCACGGACTTCCAGTGGATGCCCGTTCCCTCGACCGGACGATTGCCGAAACCGCATTGCAACGTGCTTATGGCACAATTGTGGGATTACTTGCACACTGCAGTACCAGCTCTGTTGATGGACACCGGAGCAGAGGTTGTCGACCTTCACGTTTACATCGCGAAGATCGACCGCGAGTTCAAAACGCAACGGTACGACGAAATCGACGCACCATTGCTATATGTACGCATTCAGATCAGGGAAGCGACGTGCAGCGCTTTGATCGATTGCGGAGCATCTCGCAACTACATCAGCCAGGACTTCATGGTGCGCGCCGGCCTTGGCCCATGCGTCCGGAGGAAGCCCCAGCCTACGCAAGTCACATTGGCGGACGGTCACACGCACAAGTCAATCGACCGGTGCATTGACAACGTCCCAGTGTACTTTGCCCGTCACGCAAGTGAGGCGGTGTCCTTTGACATTCTGGACACCAAATTCGACATGATCTTGGGCATGTCATGGCTGCGAAGCAAGGATCACCCGGTGAACTTCTTCAAACGCACCGTTCACGTTCGTGACCGGAACGGAGTATTAGTTCCATGCACGGTGCCTCTTCCTCATCCTTCGATCAGCTGCCACGTGGTATCCACCGCAAGCATGCGAGCTTCCATCATCAGAGACGACATCGAGGAGATAGGGGTGTGTTTTCTCCACGCTCTCCCGCCCCATGACGCCTCATCGACGGACTCACCTTCGGATCCACGCATCACCGAACTTCTCGACGCCTACAGCGACGTGTTCGAAGGCCTGCACGGAGTAGTACCGGATCGACCCATCCGCCACGAGATCATCCTCGAGGACGGGGCCGTACCTCCGCGAGGTTGCATCTACCGAATGAGCGAGGAAAAGTTAAGTGTGCTTCGGGCACAACTCGACGACCTTCTAAAGAAAGGCTGGATTCGGCCTAGCTCATCGCCATACGGTGCTCCTGTTTTCTTTGTCCGGAAGAAGAACAAGGACCTGCGGTTGTGCATCGATTATCGCAAGCTCAACGCGCAGACGATCAGGAACGTCGGCCCTCTCCCACGCATCGATGACCTTCTCGAGCGATTGGGCGGCGCCCAGTTCTTCTCTAAGCTGGATCTCAAGTCAGGGTACCACCAACTCGAGATTCGCAAGGAGGATCGCTACAAGACCGCGTTCAAGACACGGTATGGGCATTTCGAATGGCTGGTCATGCCGTTTGGCCTTACGAATGCCCCAGCCACTTTCCAAGCGGCTATGACAACGGAGTTCCGACACATGCTGGATCGGTTTGTACTCATCTACCTCGACGACATCTTGGTGTATAGTCGAAGTTTGGACGAGCATGTGGAACATCTGCGCACCGTTTTGGAGCGGCTACGGCAAGCCAAGTACAAAGCAAACCGCGACAAGTGCGAGTTCGCACAGCAGGAGCTGACGTACTTGGGACACTATGTGACGCCGCAAGGCATCCGTCCGCTTGCGGACAAGATCAAGGGCCTACGAATATGGCCCGAGCCCACCAACACCATGGACGTTCGGTCATTCATGGGGTTGGCGGGCTACTATCAGCAATTCATCACCGGATACTCCAGGATTGCTGCACCTATGACGAGGTTATAGTCGCCAAAGGTGCCATTCGTATTCAAGGACGGCGCACGCCGGTCATTCCAAGCACTTAAGACGGCCATGCTCATGACACCCCTCCTTAGCATCTATGACCCCACCCTGCCGACGCGAGTGACTACGGACGCTTCCGGCTATGGCATTGGGGCAGTCTTGGAACAGCACGACGGCGACAACTGGCACCCTGTGGAGTATTTCATCCACAAAGTGTCTCCCATCAACTCACTTGATGATGCAAGGAAGAAGGAGCTGCTCGCATTCGTGATGGCTTTCAAGCGCTGGCGGCACTTCCTCCTTGGGCGTCGTAGGTTCAAACGGGTCACAGACAACAATCCATTGACCTACTATAAGACGTAGGACACGGTGAGCAGCACGATCGGACGATGGATGTACTTCATCGACCGAAACATGTCCCCGGCCTCTCCAATCGCGCAGCAGATGCACTCTCGCGAAGACCTGATCTTTGCGCTATGACACATCATGCCTTCGCATTCGACGAGGAGCTTCAGCGACACTTCATCCGGGCATATCAGTCTGATCCGGACTTCGGCACGCTCTATGCACAACTATCTTCGGATCACCCGCCGGCCAGACATTACCGCATTGTCGACGGGTACTTGCTCCTCCACTCGAGAAGCAAAGACTTACTATGTGTCCCACGCGACCTTCGTCTTCGGACTCGCCTCCTCTGCGAGTATCATGATTCACGACTCGCCGGCCATTTCGGAGTCAACCGCACTATTGCACGACTTCGACAGCGATTCCGATGACCCGACCTCATTACCGATGTGGCTCGGTATTGCGACTCTTGCGAAGTTTGCCGACGCAGCAAGCCCCACAACCGCAATCCCTACGGCAAGTTACACCCGATGCCTATCCCACGGGAACCCGGTCTCTCCATTGCCATGGACGTCACCGGTCCGTTTCCTCACGACCGGCTCGGGCACGACGGCATCCTCACGGTTGTGGACCGATTGAGTAAGCACGCGCGTTTTCTCCCTTGCAAGTACTACTCCACGGCTCCCGAGCTGGCACGCCTCCTGCACACTGGTTGGATTTGTGGCCACGGTGTACCAGAAGACATTGTCAGCGACCTCGACACTCGTTTCATGTCGGCGTTTTGCACTGCCCTAATGCAGGAGTTCGGCACAACAATTAAACCAAGTTCGGCTCAAAATCCTCAGACAGACAGGCAGACGGAGCGGGCACATCAAATGGCTCAATTGATGCTTCGTACGCTCATGCGTCCGGACCAGAAAGATTGGGTCGACCCCCTCCCCGACATCGAGTTCGCCTACAACACTTCGGTGCATCCGGCAATCGGCATGACTCCATTCGAGTTGCACCACGGTGTACGGAAAGGCCGGATCTTCGCCGACCTTCTCCTCCCTCGACCAGCCGACATTGACGCTGCCTACTCTCCCGCTTCCGTCCGGAAGTACAGGGAATTGTTGACTCAAGTCCGCGCAAATATGCAAAAGGCTCAAGTCCGCATGCAGCCGCAAGCCAACAGGCGTCGCGTACCATGTCCCATCCGCGCCGGTGATCTGGTTTGGGTCTCTGCGGAAGAGTTTGCACTGGAACAGGATGTTTCACGCAAACTGCTTCCCAAGTGGTTTGGACCTTGGTCTGTGACAGCAGCCGCGGGCGATGAGCCCGATGGCCCTTCATTTGTGATTAACATTCCAGAGCATCTGACGGTCCATCCGGTCTTCCACGCCTCGAAGCTGGCAACATACACGCCAGCCAAGAGCTACGACTTTCCGGACCGACGATCGCAAGACCCTCCTTCTATGGATGGCCATTAGGAAGTTGACCATGTCATCTCCGATCGCTAGTACGGCAGCAAGCCGCGGCAGTACAAAGTCACATTCAAAGCATGCGATCGCGACGACACTCGGTGGATTTCAGGCGCAGATTTGAAAGCATCCGCACCGCTGATCTACGCGCATTATGAAAAGCGGAGGTTAGCTCAGGAAGCTTCACGACCAGCCCCTCCCACCCGGACTGTGGTCCCTCTCTCAGACAGACAGCTTCGCCCTCGCAGGGAAGCTCGGTTCTTCAAGGAGGGGGGGGTGTGGCATACTGCGTAGCCACACGGGCCCTGCAGGGCCCGTCCCGGACATTCAGCCTAAAAGCCTAAAACTTAGGGCTTACAGGCCCCGTTCATTTCAGCCTGAAAGCTGAAAAACGAGGGCCTGCAGGCCCTACC